AAGCTTTTTCCGATAAAAGTCAGAATTTTTATTAATATCTAAGTTATAAGCCAAAAATGTTAGCAACCACAGACGTTTGCCGTCGACAAATTCAGATTCTGAGGCCCCGGTGTCAAATCCAACTTCAGAATTAGTTGCAAGAAGTCAATACATCTTCTCAGAAAGTGTATGATCCTTCCGTTTACGACCCATGGTGTGAAAAGCTTCACAGAACGTGAAACAACTTACCATCTACCCTGAAACTAAGCTACGGAAAATGGAATCGCCATTAGGATGGAAATAACAAGGCTCTGAACACCTCAGCAGTTCTTCTTAAGCGTATAAAATATAGAGACTCTGGAAAGGTGAACACTGTTGGTTGAGCTGCCAAACCCATAAAAAGAACCGTCGTGGCGCAGCGCCCCGAAGAGCTGGTTCACTTAGCTTCGCCGACGACCCCCCCGACCAGGCAGCCCTCGCTTCGGCTCGGAAGACACGGAAAACCCCCTGCGATCACGCAGGCGGCGAGGCACGCGGGTGTGCAACCGGCAGCCCCCGCGCCGGCCTGCCACCAGCACTCCCCCCGGACTCAACGCCCCAGGGCGCTCTCGCGCAGCGGCAGCGGCCCCGGCCGGCGCCGTCCCGCGGACTCAGACCTGAGGTCTCTCGCGGCGGCAGGGAAAGTGGTCTTCGGTCCGGAACAGGACGGGCGGTTCGTAGGCGCCCGGCTGGGGCCTGCCGGAGGACGCCTTGTGGAAGAAGGAGGGCACGGCGATCGTGTGCAGCAGCTTCCGGAAGGCGCTGGGGAAAGCGCCCAGCTCGGCCTCCGCCCGGGCCACCTGCTCCTCCATCCTGGCCACGCTGGCGCCGATCATGGCCACGAAGGCCTCCAGCCGGTCGATCTTGCGGTACACCCGCCGCATCTCCGTGGCCCTCGCGTAGATGCGAGGCACGCCCTCGCTCACCACGTGGGACGAGTCCCCGCGCAGCATGTCCAGCATGCCCACGAACTCGTCCACCCTGGTGAGCAGGTCCTCCAGGCTGGCGTCCAGGGCCTCGACCTCGGGCCGCGCCCCGGCTCCGGGAAGCAGGCAGGCGGCGCAGCCCGCGGCGGCGCGGCGCAGCAGCGGCAGGTCGCGGCCGGGCGCGCCCAGCTCGGAGCCCTCGTCCTCCCACGGCCCCGAAGCGCTGCTGTGGCTCTGGGACACGTTGCCGCTGTCCCCGCTCCAGGCAGCTCCCTGGAGCTCGGCCTCCTCCTCGGCCGGCCCCTCGCGCGGCGACGCCCGGCCGGCGGGACGACCCTCCATGGCCGGCTTCGGCCGGGCCCGGAAGCGGGGGGGGCGGCCCGGCCGTTCTCCTTCCGGCCCCTCCGCACGCATGCGCGCGCCGTCCCCTGCCTCGGGCTTCCGCTCGCGGACGCGCGCGCGCGCCAGTCTCTCTCCCCGCCCGTGGGCGCTCGTGCACGCGCAGCGCTCACAGGCAGGAAGGACTCGGTAGAATGTGAAGCGGTGACCGGACTATGATGAGATGCGCACATCCTCAGCGCATCTTTTCTTTTCTTTTAAGATTTTATTTTTATTTATTCATGAGAGACACAGAGGGAGACGCAGAGACCTAGGCAGTGGGAGAAGCAGGCTCCTGTGGGACGCCTGATGCGGGACTGGAATCAGGACTCTGGGATGACGACCTGAGCCAAAGGCAGGCGCTCAACCCCCGAGCCACCCAGGTGCCCCCTCAGTGCATCTTTTGCATGTGTTCACACGATCCTGTAACCTCCACCCGGATCAAGATAGAGAACATGTCCAAGACCCATGAAGAGCATCCTATTATCCCTAGTTTATTCTTGCTGCTTATATTGAAATGAAAGCGGAGAAAAATAAAAGTATGGTCCCTGAAACCTTGCTATTCTTGGTGACTTTAAGAGTTCTCAGCTTCTGGGACGCCTGGGTGGCTCAGCGGTTTAGGACCTGCCTTCGGCCCAGGGTATGATCCTGGAGTCCCAGAATCTAGTCCCACATCGGGCTCCCTGCATGGAGCCTGCTTCTCCCTCTCCCTGTGTCTCTGCTTCTCTCTCTCTCTCTCTCTCTCTCTCTCATGAATAAATAAATAAAATCTTAAAAAAAAAAGAGTTCTCAACTTCTTTCCATATTTTCCCCAACACTTGGTATTGTCAATATTTTCACTTTTAGACATTCTACTGGATGTATAGTGAGTACTATCTCATTGTGGTTTTGATTTGCATTTCCCTGTTGAATCGTGAACTTTAGTGCCTTTTTATATACTTATGGGCCCTGTGGATATTCTCTTCCGTGAAGTGCTGGCTCAAGTCTTGTCCATTTTTAAATTGAGCTATTTGTCCTTTCCTTATTGACCTATAGAAGTTCTCAATACAGTTTGAATATGAGTCCTTTGTCATATATCTTCTCCCACTCTGTGGCTTGCATTTTCATTCTCTTAAATGATGTCTTCTGATGAACATGTGATAATTTTAAGAAATTCCAATTCATCAAACCAGGAACATCTGGAGAGTGAAAGAGGACACTCAGGATACAAGATATAAAATCTTGGGCAAACTATATCATGTAATTATTATGGACTATAAGGATTATACGATGATCACGAAGGATCATACGTCCAATGCTTACCCTAGTGCAACAGGTGGTAATTGACACCCAGAGATATGTATTTGAGTTAACCAACTTGTCCAAGGCAAGTAATTGGAGGGACTAGGACCTAATGCAGGATGTGTCTGACTCCAATACCTTCGGCATCAAATAACCTCTATTCACTGTCATAATAGTTATAATACCATCACCACTTACATCTACTGGTGCTTTGGTATTTGCAAAACACTTTCCTGCGCATCATCTCACTTATGCATCTTCCCACTGACAGAGATTCAGGCTGGGATCACTGGTCTTTATGAGACTGGAAAATCGAAGCTCTGATGTGTGGCACTGTGCAAACAGCATCCCTCCAAAGTACTGCTATTATGGCACCAGTTGAACAAGCCTGGAAACAGACTCCATCTACTCCACAATGGCATACTCTTGGTGCTCAATAACTTTTTAAGTGAATATTGAAACAACATTTACTGGGCCCATGCTGTTTGGCAGGTCCTGTAGGTGGTGGGGACCGAGACCAGAACCTGTCCTCAAGGAACCTCCAGTAGGCAGAGGCTCTTACATTTTCAGAAAGGAGGCCTTCTCTCTAAAACATTCCCTAAGGCCCTACTTGTGACCAGGCTGCCAGGAGGGGTTAAGGACAGAGCTGAATTGGAAGTGGTCCTTTATCGTAGGTTGCTCACAGTCTGATGAAGATGATGCAGGCAGGCTGGATCCAAGGATCCACAGAGCGTGCCCTGCAAGACCAACTTTGCACAGGACAGAAATGAGATGTGAACCGGAGAAAGTAAAAACAGAGTTTATTGAATAGTGTGAGTGACATAATAGCAGACAGCATGTCTAGGAGACTCAGAAAGGAAAGGAGAATGATGAGCCTATATTGGAAGGAAGTCTAGTATACATGTTCCTTCAGGAATCCAGGGTAGGGCCCGATCAAAAGCAAGTGGCAGGTGAATAATAGGTGTAATTCTATAAATCATTGAAGGTAGGGGTTATCGATGCCAGCATCAGCTAAGATTTGTTCAAAACTAACGCCCTGGAACATGTTTGCGATCTGCCTCTTTGTAGATGTTATCAGGTGTTTGGGGGCTTAGGACAAAAGTTCAGAGAAAGATTAACTTTCTTGTTTCCCCTTTGAAGTGGGAACATAGCTTCTTTGGTTAATTCAGATGCAAAATATAGACCAAGAGTAACTGTGACCTAGCAGAGAAATAGCAGAGATAGAGCCTTTCTAAAATGGACTCCCTTCAGCTCCCCTACCTCAAAGAGAGATAAACTACTGACCAGAACCACCCGAGGCATCTGGAGAAACATCCCCCCAGAACAAAAATCTGGGAGGAAGGGGTGGGGATTACAGAGAAAAGGCCAGGTAGGATCCCTGGTTTTTGACGTAAGGGCCTGTCTCAGAAGAGGGAGCATGTGCTGTAGGTAAGGGCAGCGACTGGAGACCCAAAATAGCTCAGGTTCAAATTCTGACCTAAGCATGATTTTAGCCAGTTTTTCATCTAACAGGTTCATTGTGAGGTGAAATGAATTAATCTCAACATTTTTAAGAAAGATTTTAAAAGTTTATTCATCCATAAGAGACACAGAGAGAGAGACAGAGACAGAGACACAGGCAGAGAGAGAAGCAGGCACCTGCAGGGAGCCCCAAGCAGGACTCCATCCCAGCACCCTGGGATCACGACCTGAGCCAAAGGCCTATGCTCAACCACTGAGCCACCCACGTGTTCCTAATCTAAGCACTTAGAGCAGTAAACATCAGCCCATCTTATTCAAATTCAAGGGAGGGAGAATTGCTTTCACTTTAAAAGAAAAAAATAAAGGGGCGCCTGGGTGGCTCAATTGGTAGAGCGTCTGCCTTCAGCTCAGGTCATGACCCAGGGTCCCGGGATGGAGCCCCATCGGGCACCCAGCTCCACAGGGAGCGTGTTTCTCTATCTCTCTCTGCCTGCCTCTCCCTCTGCTTGTGCTCTGTCTCTCTCTGTTGAATAAAGAAATAAAATCTTTTTTTTTTTTTTTTTTAAAGAGAGAAGCAGGCTCCCCATGGGAGCCCGATGCAGGACTCCATCCCAGGACCCGGACATCACGATCTGAGCCAAAGGCAGATGCTCAACCACTGAGCCACCCAGGTGCCCCAAATAAATAAAATCTTTTTAAATAAAATAAAGAAAAAGAAAAAGCCTAGGATGCCCTAGCGGAGGAGGTAATCAAAGCACTACAGGGCAGGGCGCGGGAAGCCGGTGGTGGAGGACGTGCGCGCGCCCGAGGCAGGGTCCCTCAGCGTGCGCGCACCCGCACACAGGAGTGGGCCCAGGTGTGGCCGTAAAGAGGCCGGGCCTTGTCGTGAAAGTGCCGCAAACACGCCCACCCCAGTGACGGCTGCAAGTGCCCCCGCAGTGGCCCGATTAAACAGCTTCCGCTTCCGGGGTGGTGGTCCTTCTGTAGGGGTGAAGGCGAAGCCTCAGTCCTACTGTGTCAGAAATTGGGCAGTGGGAGCAAAGTTGAGGTCAAGAGGAAAATGAGTGCGTGCTACCTTGGCTAGGTGTTCATGATTTTTGAGGCTTCCCCCAACCTCCGCTGGTCATTAGAAAAAAATTAGAATAACTTCAGGTTCGTCTTTGGAAAACTGAAAAGCCCCTTCCAAAGGGACAGCTGCTGGAGGTAGAGCCGCCTAGGCGCTAAGGAGGGTGGTGCTGGGGAGACCAAAGAAAATCTGGCCCATGGAGCAGAATAGGGGAGGGTGAGAACACAGGGAAAGAAACGGAGAAGTGTGAAGCTGTAGGCCTTTGCCAGAAATGCCCAGGTTCTTCTAGAAGACAGATGCGTCGGAGGACCTAGTCTGAAAGAAGTGACATTCTTGTGGGTAAGTTTGTTTTAGTTTTTTTTTTTTTTTTTTTAAAACACCACTGCAGAAATCTGAAACTCAGGGTCTTGATGGCAGATTTCTTCCAGTTGTGCTTTACCTTCACAGCTGATGGATTCTGGTCATCTGGTAGGGATGGGCTGCCCCCTCAAGGATGCTGAAACAGCTTGTTGTTTACTCTGTTTTTCTTTTTCTTTTTTTACTCTGTTTTTTAATTGTCTTATTCTTTAGGTTTTTTTTTTTCTTTTTAAGATTTCGTTACTTCTTTATTTGAGAGAGGAGAGACGGAGGTAGCACAACTGGGGAGGAGAGGAAGAAGCAGGCTGCCCACTGAGCAGGGAGCCCACTGAGGGCTCTATCCCAAGACGGTGAGATCACGACCTGAGCCAAAGGTGAGATCACCGACTGAGCCACCCAGGCACCCCTGTTTCTGTGTTTTTTAATCCACATGTAACAGTCTCCCTTAGGGCAGGAGAATTCGTCCCTTGGAAGCATAGTAAGTCAGTAAAAGAATGACATGGAGCTTTTGCAGTGAAGCCAGATAGGCTGTTCCTTGGTGTGGTACCACCCAGGAGAATAGGGGGCTCATGTTCCAAGTCCCAAACTGCCAATGGCTTACAAGTGAGGGTTTTTAAGGGCAAAATTTGGGGCGGGGGTCTGCTGACAAGGTGGACACAGTTGATGGATTGGAGGTAAAGTCAAGTCGTGTTCACAGATGTTACTTAGTTATTCTGGTCCCATGGAGGTCAGTCTGTTTGCTTTCGAGAGACTTGGAATCTAAGAAATGTCTTTATTTCTTATGTTGGGAGATTTTGGATTAAGTACATCTGGTGATTCTGTAGTTAGGATAGTGTTGATCAACTGCTTGTATGTGCATAAACTAGTGGGGCTGCATCCTTCACGTTCCTTTGAATGATCAGCAAGCATTCCAGCTCTTGGACCTGGGTCTCTGTGTTTCCTGGCCCGGCCAGCTGGGCCTGGGGACGATAAGACCTCTAATGTTTGTCCTTTCATCTGACCTAACAAGATGGGTGCTGGCATCAGCTGGTGACCCTGATGTGGGTTTAGATCGTCCAGTGTATTTGATTCCTGAAGAATAACTGTATGAGAAACACTCTCATAATGGAAATAGGGCTTAATGCAGAGTTGTTTCAGTGGCCAGGTTCGTTCTTGTTACTTTGCTGTGTTCAAAATGTTGGGCGTGGCCAACATTGTGTTTTGCTGGTGCCATGTGACCTGATTGTCGGCTGGAACTATGGGACATCTGTAGATGTGGGGCCAGAATCTTATGCCTGTGGAGGTGCCTGGAAGGCACTGCTTGGGTGTGGCTGGTGCCCAGTGTTGGGGTGAGACTGCTTTGGGGAACACTGGGAAAAACTGGGAGGCAGTTGGAAGATGGTTGGTTGTGTATTTTGGAACTTTGATTCCTGTGAGACACAGGAATAGAGCTATGTCTTGTGGCATATCGTCTGGTGTATGTGGTATCACCCGTCAGGTGAGTTTATTTAGACAACGTCGCTGGCCCCAAATAAAAGTTGGAATAGAGGGATCCCTGGGTGGCTCAGTGGTTTAGTGCCTGCCTTCAGCCCAGGGCCTGATCCTGGAGTCCCCAGGGTCGAGTTCCCACATCGGGCTTCCTGCATGGAGCCTGCTTCTCCCTCTGCCTGTGTCTCTGCCTCTCTCTCTCTGTCTCTGTCTCTAATGAATGAATAAATACAATCTTTAAAAAAAAAAGTTAGAATAGAGAATGATGGGATACGCTTCACTGTCGGAATGCCCTCAGTTAACAAGGGTTTTGAGTATCAAACCAAACAGACCATCTACAAAGAGCCTGGGGACACTGGAGAGAGGAAGAGGCATCACCAGGACCCATAAAGTCCCTTCTAGTTTATCAGGATAGACCTGACCAAGATTTGAGATTGAAGTCAGACATGTGATAAATTAAGTGCTCATTGGCCTTGCAAAACAAAGATCTATAAAACACCTTTTTTAAAAAAATGATTTTATTTATTCATTTTATTTATTTATTCATGAGAGACACACAGAGGCAGAGGCACAGGCAGAGGGAGAAGCAGGCTCCATGCAGGGAGCCCGATGTGGGACTCCATCCCAGGACCCTGGGACCACACCCTCAGCCAAAGGCAGACCCTCAACCACTGAGCCACGCAGATGTCCCAAAAACCTTTTTTTAAAAGGTGACGTTCAGATGACCAAGGCCCCTGTGTGGGTTAATAAATTTCTTTTGAAATGGACATGCTCCTTTCAGTGCTGCTGCCCATCCACATGTGGGACCAAGTTGCTTGAAGTTTGGGTTCTCTGTGAGCCTGGAACTGTGAGGCAGAATTGCTCATGGCAGCTGCCGTGGGGATAATATGACAAAACACTCAGCTCTCAGCAGAGATGCCTGGTCCCAGCCCCTGCCCCTCATCATGCTAGAAAGTGTGTTTAGTCTCTCAGGGGGCATAATGTGCTTTCTTTCCGGCCGAGGCCAGGGATGTGGGAGCAGGAGGAGGGACTTGGCACTATGTAGAAGGGACTGGAACTTGCCCTAGAATGCGCAGTACAACTTCTGAGAGTAGAAGCCAGTGGGGGCATCAGAAGCTCAAGAACGATTGACCTGCAGCCCTGGGGGGGGGGGGGGTTCATAGGGGCCTGTTGATGTACATTGCAGGTTAGTTGCTCCATGGTCTCTTAATTCCAGGAGTTGGCTGAAGAAGCACCTCTTCTTTGGGATATTATGGACCTTGACTCAGGAAATTTAGTGTTAAATTGTGTCACTGATTTTTTTTTTTAAGATTTTATTTATCTGTGTGAGAGAGAAAGGGGGGGAGAGAGAATGACTGGGGTCAGGGGTAGAGGGAGGAGCAGACTCCTGTGGCCAGGGAGCCTGATGTGAGACTCGATCCCAGGACCCTGGGATCATGACCTGAACCAAAGACCAGACACTACGCACTGAGCCACCTAGGCGTCTCATTCATTCATTCATTCATTCATTCATTCATTCATTCAAAGATTTTATTTATTTATTCGAGAGAGAAAGAGAGAGGCAGAGACACAGGCAGAGGGAGAAGCAGGCTCCCTATGTGGAGCCCAATGTAGGACTCAATCCCAGGACCCCAGGATCATGCCCTGAGCTGAAGGCAGACTCAATTGCTGAGCCCCCCAATGCCCCTCTAGGCGCCCCTTAGAAATAGATGCGTTGAGGGTGAAAAACTTGCTGCACTTGTGTGTGTGTGGTATATAGATGTACACAGTGTATGCATGTTTCCTCTTGATTAACTGACCACAGATTATATTTCTTCATTGGAGTACATTTCATCTCTTCATTATCCTAGGTCTTGATGCTAAGCCTCCTTCATGGTCAGAGCCCTATGTAATGCAGAGCACTATAGTGACAGGCTGATGGTCTTCATTCATGCTTGTGATGCAGAGTAACATAGAGGCATACAGGGCTTTGTGTGGATTTCCTATTTTAACTCATAAATTTTCCCCTAATTGGATTGCATGTCCGTGGAATTCAAACAACTTCTAAGTCAGCTAGAAAATTTGCATTGCCTTCTGTCAGCAGCTCTGAAATCATTTGTCATGGACGAAATCATTTGCTGTGGAGTCAGAAATTCTGTGTTCTCTTCCAGAAGGCTTGGGAAATTCTCCAGCCACCACTGGCAGCAGCTGGCTTGTGATGCCTGAATCTTCACTCATGTTTTGTTGCGGTACTTCTCAGAGTTCTGTTTCTTCTGAGAACAGGTGATTATCCACTATCCACGTAGCTCACTAGGCCACCTTTCAAGTTTCTTGCTTACAGGTTGTCTTACCGGAGAGGCCCCCATGTTCCCTCTTTAAAAACAACACAGCCATCCCTGTTACTCTCTATGCTCCTTTATTTTTCTTCTCACTACCTGCCACATGATGATTAATTTGTGTATTGCCTGACCTCTCCCTATAGAATGTCAGTCCCTTGAAGACAGGAATTTTGTTTACTGCTAAATTCCTAGCACAAAGACCAATGCTTGATTGGCCATATGGTTGGTACTCAATGCTCATTGAATGAATGTGTACCAATTTGGTATGTAAATTTAATTGTATGTAAAATTAATGGCTTGGTTGATTGAGCATCTGACTCTTGACTTGACTCTTGGTTTCAGCTCAGATCATGATCTCTCAGTCATGGGATCCAGCCCTGAGTTGGACTTAATGCTGAGCACGGAGTCTGCTTGTCTCCCTCTTCCTCTCACTTGTATGCTCTTGTGTGCTCCCTTGCTTGCTCTCTCTTTCTCTCTCTCTCTCTCTCTCTCAAAAATAAATATATAATTCTTTTAAAAAGGGCACCTGGGTGGCTCAGTGGTTGAGCATCTGCCTTTGGCTCAGCTCATGATCCTGCGGTCCTGGGATTGAGTCCTGCATCAGGCTCCCTGCATGGATCCTGCTTTTCTCTCTGCCTGTGTCTCTGCCTCTCTGTGTGTGAATAAATAAATAATTTTTTAAAAATAAATCTTTAAAAAATATTGTGTCAGGGCAAATAACTCAAACCAAAGTTTCTCAGCCAGAAACCAGTGTCCTTGATTCCTCCTTCCTCCTCAGCAATCTCTTCCCCCTTCCTCACTATCACTGACACACATCGATTCTTTTTTTTTAATTTATTTATTTATTTATGATGAGAGAGAGAGAGAGAGAGAGAGAGAGACAGGACAGGCAGAGGGAGAAGCAGGCTCCATGCACCAGGAGCCCGACGTGGGATTCGATCCCAGGTCTCCAGGATCACGCCCTGGGCCAAAGGCAGGCGCTAAACCGCTGCGCCACCCAGGGATCCCCACACATCGATTCTTTGCCAGATTGTACCTCAGGTTCCCCCACCTCCCTCCAGCTGCCCTAGACCACTAGCATAGTGCTCTCCTAACTGGCCTCCCTGCTTGTCTTATTGCCAGTCCCTCTCCTTCACAGTTAGCAGCAGATTGGGCTACGTTGAGTCCCTGCTTATAACCATTTCCAAAATTCATTTTGCTGCACAAGTCTTTACTTATCGGTATTATTTATCTTCTACTATGTATCAGACACTGTTCTAGGCATTGAGGGCTGTGAACGGACATTCCAAAAATTCTGCCCCTGGAACTTCATTCTAGTGCTGGAGATAATGGTAAGCAGGAGAAATTGGTAGCATGTTACCTAGTGATGAGTGCTAAAGACATTCATTCATTCGAAATATGTAGTTAGTTCTTTCTTTCTGTTTTTGTTTTTGTTTTTTCCTATTTACTTATTTGAGAGAAGGAATATGCTGCAGGAAGGGGGCGGTGGGAGGGTCAGAGGGAGAGAGAAACTCTAGGATTCTGCACTGAGTGTGGAGCCTGACTCGGGGCTCACCGTGGGGCGTGATCTCACGACCCTGAGATCATGACCTGAGCAGAAACCAAGAGTCCACCCAGGCGCCTCATATATATTTCTCATATGTACAAGGATTTCTCCATCCCTCAGCGTGGGCTCACTCTGGTTTTCCTCTGTCACTACCCAGAAGTGAGCCCTCTCCCTCGTCCTCAAATGTTCACATTTAAGATGTTCATCTTCCTTGTGACTAGCCTTCCTCTTACCTCTTACAGACTCTAACTCCTACTTCTGTCAATGTCTGCTGTCTGGACACAGCCTCTGCAGCTTCAGGGTGTGGGGTCTTCACACTCCACTCCCTGCATGAGGGCACAGAGAATGTAGGTACTCGGTATGTGCAGGGCTGCAGTTTTGCCAGTTGGATGCAATTCCTAGAGTTGTGTGCATGTCTGTGAAGACAGTCGGTGCTTGTCATTTGTGGTAAAGACACATGAGCACTGAGTTAGCAAATATGGATCACTGCCTCTAAGGGATGAGCAGGCTTAGGTTTCTGCCAGGGTCTGGCCACATTGTCATCAACCGACCAATACATAATCTAGTTTTGGGATGTCAGGGTGGCTCAGCGGTTGAGCATCTGCCTTCATCCCCAGGGTGTGATCCTGGAGTCCCAGGATCGAGTCCCACATTGGGCTCCCTGCATGGAGGCTGCTTCTCCCTCTGCCTGTGTCTCTGCCTCTCTCTCTCTCTCTCTCTCTCTCTCTCTCTGTCTCTCATGAATAAATAAATTGAATCTTTAAAAAAAAATAACCTAGTTTTATGTGTGTTTGTGTTTGAAGATACCTTATTTAGCATATTTTTGATTCATTAATGTTGAACTCCCAGCCAACAGGACTGTAACCCACGCTTCATGGAATCTTATCTAACACATGTGTTTTCTCTGTAAGGCACTTCACTATTTTTGTGGTTAAAAATGCTGGGAAGAACTTCAGCACTTAGGCTTGGAGCCCATTTCAAACTGAAGTCACCAACAACCCCTCCACTTCCCAAATGCAGACTGTGAGAAAGACACTTGTACGAGGTGAGCAGAAACAAGAAGGCAGGGTTCCACGTCATTCTCCCTCAGCTGCACATGTCAGTGAGTAACCAGGAAAGCTCCACGAGTATTGATTTTGGAGCTACAAATATATTTTACTGAGTGGGTAAGTTTGTAAATATAAAATCACCAAATGAGGGCAGACTACACACTCAAATAGCCCGATGTAGATGTCTTGGTGAGGAATAGGGAGCCATAGTGGCCCAGGTCAGGGCTCAGCCTGGGCAGGGTGAAGAGGACATCCCTACAGAGGGGCAGCCTGGCATAGGGGTCAGAGCCCTCCAAGCAGGGTGAAGACATCTATGGAGTGTGGCTGGAGGGAGGGAAACCCAACCTGGGAAATGAAAACCCAGGCAGGGTTAGGAGTCCCCAAGGTGGTCAGGGGTCAGAGCCCAAGTGGGGTGAGGGGAGCAGCCACACATGGGGACAACTCCGTGCAGCTTGTCAGAGCCTGAAGGTAAGGAGGGCATCCAGAGAGGAGGCCAGACCTGTGATGTGACTCAGCCCAAGGGGTGAGGGGGTGTGCATTCAGGGTCAGACTGGCACAGGGATCAGAGGCTTATCAGGGAAAAGTTTTCCATGCAGGAAAAGGGGTGCCAGCAGTGGGAGAGAAATATGAGAAAAGAATGCCAGAATGAACTCCGTGATATTGGATTGAAGTTAGAGGTATCTGAGTGAACTTGTGGTTCTATGTATATATTATACAACTATGTAGAACCATAATGTGTGTATATGAATTAATGTACACACAAATATTCTCACATTCTGCCTATTGGAAGGAAGCAGCAGGAAGCAGTGACACCCCAGTAGTAATGAGCATACCTGGCTCTCTGATCTTGGCTTTTTAATTTAATTTTTATTTATTATTTTTTAAAGATTTTATTTATTTGGGAGAGCACAAGCAGCGGAGGGGCAGAGGGAGAAGTGGACTCCTGGCTAAGCAGGGAGTCTGATGCAGGGCTCAATCCCAGGACCATGGGATCATGACCTGAGCTGAAGTCAGACACACAACCATCTGAGCCACGCAGGTGCCCTATTTTATTTTAGAGAGAGAGCGAGCACTCACATGTACACAGAAGGGAGGGATGGGGGACACAGAGGGAATGAATCCCAGACAGAGTCCCTGCTGAGTGCAGAGCCTGATGGACCCTGACCTCACCACATGAGCCAAGACCATGAGTGCACCAAGCATCTGTAAGCCAAGATGCTTAACAGAATGCACCACCCAGGCGCCCCATCATCTTGCCTTCTAAATACTACTTTTCCACTAAAAGGAACTAGAAGTGCTTGGAGAAATGGTCAGTTCTAGAGCCAGGGCAGGGAGAGCATAAGATGTATCCAGATACCTTGCTGTGACAGAAAGCAAGGGGTGTTCAGACAAGGTTGGGATAGGTCAGAACACAGAGCCCAGCTTGAATGGGCCCCGCTGCCAAACAGGATTCAGTGTGGTCATCAGAACAGACAGTGGTGGTAACAGTGATAGTGTTTAAGAATCACTTCTTGCGGGATTCCTGGGTGGCGCAGTGGTTTGGCGCCTGCCTTTGGCCCAGGGCGCGATCCTGGAGACCCGGGATCGAATCCCACGTCAGGCTCTCGGTGCATGTAGCCTGCTTCTCCCTCTGCCTGTGTCTCTGTCTCTCTCGCTCTCTCTGTATGACTATCGTAAATAAATAAAAAAAATTAAAAAAAAAAAAAGAATCACTTCTTGCCAACTCAGACCTGAGTCATGAGGAAACATCAGATAAACTCAAATGGAAGGAAACTCTACAAAATAACAGCCTGTAATCATCGAAAGTGTCAAGGTCACGAAGGTCTGTGAAACTGGGGAACTGTTCCTGATTGAAGAAGACCAAACAGAACTAAATGCAGCAGTGAGGTGTGTTTGCTATAAACGTGATCCTTTGCTTTATAAAAGATGCTGTTAGAACAATCGGCAAAACTTGAATGGGGTCTTGAGATGGGCTGGTGGTCGTGTGTCCATGTGCATTTCCTGATCTCAGTGGTTGCACTGTGATTCTGTAGGAGAGTGCCTTGTGGGGGGGACAGTCATACTCAAGTACTCGGGCTGATGGATCATGTCAGCAGCTTATTCTCAGATCCTTCTGAAAAATTAAATTCTTTGTACTCTAACTTCTGTAAGCTTGTGATTTCCATAAGTTTCCAAATTTAGAACATTTCTAAAGTGATTAATAAAAGAACGCTAAAGACCTTTTTATTTTTTAAAAATACTTATTCAGGGGATCCCTGGGTGGCGCAGCGGTTTGGCGCCTGCCTTTGGCCCAGGGCGCGATCCTGGAGACCCGGGATCGAGTCCCACATCAGGCTCCCGGTGCATGGAGCCTGCTTCTCCCTCTGCCTGTGTTCTCTGTTTCTCTCTCTGTGTGTATCTCTCATGAATGAATAAAATAAAATAAAAACAAAAATATTTATTCATTTGAGAGACAGTGTGAGTGAGCATAGGGTGGAGGGTCAGAGGGAGAGAGAATCTTAAGCAGATTCTGTGCTGAGCCTGACATGGGGCTTGATCTCATGACCCTGAGATCACAACCTGAGCTGAAACCAAGAGTAAGATGCTCAACTGACTGAGCCACCCAGGTGCCCCAAGACCTTTTTAAAAGCTCAATGTTGGGATCCCTGGGTGGCACAGCAGTTTGGCGCCTGCCTTTGGCTCAGGGCGCGATCCTGGAGACCCGGGATCAAATCCCATGTCGGGCTCCCGGTGCATGGAGCCTGCTCCTCCCTCTGCCTGTGTCTCTGCCTCTCTCTCTCTCTCTCTCTCTCTCTCTCTCTCTCTCTCTCTCTCTCTCTCTGTGACTATCATAAATAAATTAAAAATAAATAAATAAATAAAAGCTCAATGTTGTCTCTGAAATGTAGCCACCAGTCTCTATCTTTTACTCAGTATTTATCGTGAACAGCAGAAGGCAACCAGGTCTGTAAGCCAACAATGTTTCTGAATTTGTCAGGAAGTTCTTTCTAGATTCATCCTTTTTTTTTTCCATTTCCCTTTTTTTTTTTAAGATTTTATTTATTTATTCATGAGAGACATACAGAGAGAGGCGGAGACCCAGGCAGAGGAAAAAGCAGGCCCCATGCAGGGAGCCGGACACGGGACTCAATCCCAGGTCTCCAGGACGAGGCCCTGGGCTGAAGGCGGCGCTAAACCGCTGAGCCACCTGGGCTGCCCCAGATTCATCCTTTTAAAAGTCTGCCTTTTTTCCTTTTGGTTAAGAATTACTAATAAAGTCACTACTGTTATTATATATGGTAATGTGTTATTATATATGGAATAGTTATTAAAATTATTAACTATTATAGTAACTATTGCTGTTGCACATTCTTTGCCTTCAAATAACGAATTTGAGAGCTTTATGGACGAAATCGGTCAGGGTTCCTAGGGGCACAGAAGCTGACCCGGGACAGGTAAGGCAGTTTCCAGAAGCACGGTGAGGGCTCAGGAAGAGGTTCAGGGTGCCGCTTCCAGGAACAGCCCACACTGCAGAACTGGACGGAGAGGAACTTTGCCTTGCCTCTGAGCTCAGGACGGTTCAGTTCATCATACCCGCTTCTGCCCCAACACCTTGCCTCTACCTGCCTGAGTAGACCTGGCTCCTTGAACCCTCCCTTAGCATCACTAGCTCTTGTCCGACTAGGCACGGGTGACTCTGATTGGTGGGCTCCAGGTCATGTGACAACACTTGTTGCAGGAATCTGGTATTTTCAACCAGACCGGTTAGACAGACTTGTGGCCCAAGGTGCGTAAGCGATGAGGGGTGCAGATGTGGAACAGACAGAACGAAGGACAAGTATGCACCACAGGGTGGTTCTGGGGCTGATACTGGCTAAATGTGGCTTAAGCGCTGTGGTCTCCTATGTCCCGGAATCCGGGGGGGTCGCAGCCCTGGGGCATCAGGATCTCTGGGCCGGGGTCAGGGCGCCTGCTGGCCGCTAGCCCGGGTCCTGTGCCGCCTCCCGGGGCTGCCCCAGCACGGCCGGGGGTGCGGCTGGGGGTTCTGCTCCAGTGGGAAGGACTTCAAAGCTGAGGGGAGACCTCTGCTGCTGGTATTGCAAAGGTGATGGGCGCCTCAAAACCAGGTCCGGTTACCAGCCTTACACCCACGACCTCGACCTCACCTGGGCGTGTTTCTAAACGTGCTTTCTATTTTTTTTTTTTTTAAGATTTTACTTATTTATTCATGAGAGACACACAGAGAGAGGCAGAGACACAGGCAGAGGGAGAAGCAGGCTCCACGATCCCAGGTCTCCAGGATCATACCCTGGGCCGAAGGCAGGCGCTAAACCGCTGCGCCACCCGGCGTCCTTTCTTTCTAAAGGCAGTGTCCCATGCTGCAAACATGGTGGCAGGCAGCTAGAAAAACACGTGAGGACCAGAGTTCAGCAGGGACTCTAGCCCTCACGGGTCATACATTTCTTTTTTCTTTCAAGATTTTATTAGACCGCGAGTGCATTGGCGGGAGCACGAGTAGGGGGGAGAGGACAGGGGAGGGACAAGCAATTCCTTCGCAGTGGGGAGCCCCTCCCATGACTGATCTCACCACCCTGGGATCATAACCCCGCCGAGGTCAGACTCAACCAACTTAGCCACCCAGGCACCCCTTGTGTCATTCAGTTCTTCTCTGTTACTGTGTTTTACAGCCTTTGTGGCAAAAACCAAAACCCCCAAACCTAGGATCAGTGCGTTAAAAAGCTGCGACTTGAAAATGCGTTTGGAGAAACAGAGGGGCAGGGGTTTGAGGTGTGGCTGGCCCGCTGTCCCCTGGGCTTCTGAGGGTCCAGCACAGGGTGGCACCCTCAGGGTGCTGACCCACCCGCAGAAGCAAAAGCGGGGCCTCGGCCCGCTGGAGCACGGGGGGCAGTCCGGAGGTAGCCCCCTACCCACTGACCCGCATCCTACCCTCTCCATCTCCCCTCCTGGGCAGGAACACGAAGTGACAAATCCACGGACTCATTGTGTTGGGGGTGGGGGCGCTGAAGGGGTCAGGAAATAATCCATTTCCACCAGACGGGGAGCTTTTCACAAGTATTTTACTGATGCTGGCCCAGAGGGTTCTGGAAGCCAGCCTGCAGGGCATCAGGGGAGCCCCGCCCGCTCGAAGTACTGGTGGCAGGCGGCCGTGAGCGTGGCCACAAACACGATGAACTCGCTGAAGTCCACTTCGGCGTCCCCGTTGGCGTCCAGGTCCTTGAGCAGTTTGTCCACGGAGTCCCTGTCCCTTTTAGTCTAGAGACAGAGGCCGGGGTCAGCGCCACTGCTGGCGGGATGGGATGGGGGTGAGGGCATTGGGGGCACTGAGGCCCAAGTCCCGGGGCTCTGGGCAGTTGCGAGCTGCTGGGACCCACCCTTGGATTTAGGGCCGGTCAGAACTGCGTCATGCAGCTCATGAGGCAGCGTGTGTCTCACTGGCCAGTTGGGGAGAGGGTGTCCTTTGGACTGTTTTGATATGCTGTAGAGGGGGTACCCACCAGCTTTGCCGGGTCACCTCACCAGATCATATGGGGGCCTGTGCTCTACACCCTCCTAGGCAGCGAGCCTCTGATCCTCAGGGCCAGCCCGGACACAGGGAAATCTGGGGCTGCAGAGCCCCTGGGCACAGTGGTGTGTGGGGGGGTGGCAGGGAAAGTTGGGGCTACAGAGCTCCCCCTCCCCGGGTACCCCGGGGGGGGCGGTGGGCAGGGTGTGTGTGCGTGCGTGCGTGTCCATGCCAAGGCTCTAGGCAGTCTACGGGAGTCTGCCCCAGTGCGCAGCCTCACCAAGGACCACCCTGTGCAGGGGTGTCCCTGGCCCAGTGCCCCACAGCCACCCACTGGGGCTCCTGAGGTTTGTAGCCAACAGCCCCCCCCCCCAGTATGGCAGCTCTGACTGCACCCCAGGCTGGGCTTCCGTGTCAGCTGGACCCCGGAGACGGCAGCCCTGAGTCCCTGCTTTTGCCAAGTTTCTTCGTTAGGGTCCCCCACCTCAACCACTGGTTCTCAAATTGTGTTCCCAAGCCACTTGCCTCTGCCCCTCCTGCAATCCCCAAACTTTTGGCTCAAAATCCCCCGGGTTAGACTCAAACTTGGCAGTTTATCAGAGCATCTGTCCCCACCAGCTTTGCCCAGTCCCCCACCCCGGGCAGGGGCGTTCTGTGAGCACTGGAGTTTGAAACTCTGCTCTAAGTTCAAAAAGAAATTAAACTGCATTTCTAGAGTTTGACACACATCAGCTTTCAGCTCCTGCAAAGGGAAAAGGCTGAGAGACGGAGAGTGTGTTGGGTGGGGATTTCTTGCCTCCACATTTCTGTATTTTTACATTTTCTACCAGAAACATGTATTTATAGTAGACAAAAACAAACTTCATTTAAAGAACTGTATCCTCACTGCCCTTACATATTGAAAGACTGTGTTTGAATTGAAGACTGAAACTTTTAGGCTTCCATTTTTAAGAATCAGCTCAGGGTAGACCCATTAGAGGGCAGGTAAGTGGGGTTTGGTGGGTTCCAGGGGAGCCAGGAGGGGGAGGGGAAAAGTGGGAAAGAAGGGGAGCTGGAGCTGAGAGCTCCCGGTCAGAGAGGAAGAGATGGATGGTGAGCAAGGGGAAAGGGAGAGGAGGGGAGGATGGAAGGGGAGGAAGTGAGGGAGGAGGGGACAGGAGAGCAGCTGGAGGGTGAAGAACAGAGAGGAGCATAGTGGGGAAAGGAGGAGCGGGAGCAGGAAGGGAGGAGGCAGAGGAGGGCGGGGCCTCTGTTTCGAGGTCCCCGGAGGAGGCCTCCCTTGGGCAGAAAAGTGCCAGGGTGGGACCTCCTTGCGTCTGTACCCCCGTCAGCCCCACTAACACCAGGCCCGGGAATGCTGGGAGGACGGCCAGAGCAGAGGGGACAGCAGGAGTGGTTGTGGCCAGCAGCCTCAGAGGGGTGCAGCTGTGAGGGGCCAGCACACCCAACCTCACCGTGGGTCCTGGATCCCCCCCAGTCCTGCAGCCCAGTTCAGGCTGGCACCCCGCCCCCAGCTCTCCCCCTGGGCTCCCCCCCACTCTGGCAGCAAGTAAACTGCTGCTCCAACTCCAGGTTTCAAGGACTGACCCAGGAGCCACACCTGCTCCTGGCTCTCCCCCAGGGCAGCCGATCCATTCCTGGGGTGGGGGGGCTCCTCCTTCCAGAGGCTCTAGCCCTGGTGGGGGGCAGTTCAGCCATGCAGCCCTTCGGGCCTTCCCTGCCCTCCGGTCCACTGTCCTCCCTGCCCTCCCCACGTGCCCCCACCAGGTCAGTGCTCCCACTGTCCTCCCTGACCCTCTCCGTGGGCCCTCACCTGCAAGAAGCCTGGGAGCTCCTTCTCCATGAGCACCTTCAGCTCCCCCTTGGTCAGGCTCTGCTTGCTGCCCTCCACCCCTGCGTACCGGGCGAAGACACTAATGATCATGCCCATGGCGGTCTCCAGTTCGGTCATGGTGCTGGATGTGGACCCACCTTCCCCCTGGGAGCTGGCGTGAAGGAGGAGGAAACGTCCCCAGAGGCTTTCTGGAGCTTTATAAAGGCCAGCCTCTATTGACAGAGGGTGCGACCAGCGGGCTGGACCAAGCAGCAAACCCTGCCCTGCCCCTCCCCGTTCTGCATTGCTCACTTCTGAAGAAATGCATCACAGAGACTTCCTGTCCGAAGCCTCCCCCCAGCCTGCACCTCACGGCACCCACATTTCCCTGTGCTTCCGTGTGTCCTGGGGTCATTCATCACTGATTTACTGAGCAAGGGTCAGGGGACAAGGGGGTCTGTGGGGGTTTGTTAAATGAGCAAGGAATGGATGGAGCAGTCCTATCCGGTTACATCTGGCCCCATGCAGTGGTGGAGGCGGGCCTGGCACTCAGGGACCCAGCTTGAGGAAGGCCGCCTGAGGGAATGGCAGAAAGAGCAGGATTTTGCTCCTGCAGTGCTGTGCAGAACACCCCACGGAGCACGCAGAGGACAGGCGCCTCAGACCCGCTCCCCAAACCCACAGCAGACACTGCTAGCCCCAAGCAGGTGAAGGGCCACCCTGGCCTGCCCTGCCAGGCTCCTTAGAACCCCCTGCCTGTTCTTACTATCTCCCTGTGCCCTGCTGGGGGCGGGGGGCTAGGGGGGCCGTGTGATTTCCAGACCTGAAGGCTGTCTCTGTTTCCTGATGGACAGTGCCAGGCTGTGACCAAGCCAGGACTCTGGGAGCACAGAGTTGCCCCTCCCTCGCTCCCCAGAGGTGGCATAGGTCACGGGGCTATTGCTGGAGATGCCTGCAGGGCCTGGCAGAGGGAGCCCCCGGACAGAGCTTGGAGGTCGGTGGAAGGGAGATAAAGCCATTTCCATGCAGCGGGCTCAGCCCCAGCCTGGCACTGGTGGGGAGCAGCCCATCTTCCACCAGTCCTTTCTCGTTTGGACACGTTGCCTTTCCCAGGTCTCCTGCAGGGGAGGCTCAGCGTGGCCCCGCAGGTGGTCATTTGGGAGCAGATATGGTCAGCCCACTCTGCTGTGCTGGGCAAGTCCCTCTTAGGATGAGACTCCGGGTGCCCAGCAGATGGAGAGAGCTGGGGGGAGCCTCCAGAGGGAATCCCAAGGCCTGGAGCCTCTGCAGCACCACGAAAGGGTGTCAGAGGCCCTGTGGTGACAGTTGGTGAAAGGGAAGTAAGTGTTCAGGGCTGTTGCAACAGGGCTCATGACTATCCCAACAGTGGGGACACTGGCTCAGCGCCCACCCACAGCAGAACTGGCAGGGATGCCCAGGAGCAGAGTCAGTGGGGGTCACAGAGTGGGAGATTACTGAGGAGGCAGACAGGTTGGGGGGATTCTGGCCGCAAGCAGGCCAGGGCTTACCCGTCTGAGCAGGGATGAGGAACTTGGGTCAGGCGTCAGGATGGGGAGGGGACTTCCTAACTCTTGCTACAGCCGCGGGGTGAAGCAGTTGTGAGACAGATTGGGCCCAAGGACAAGGCAGGATCACAGAGCGGGCACCAAGCAGCCTGATGAAAGGGAGAGGCTGCCAGACCCTCTTGGCTGAAGACCTGGCACAGAAAGGGGCCCGGCATGGGGCCAGGACGGGCCCAGGAGGGGCCGGCCTGTGCTCTCTAGGACAGGGCTTCCCTGGAGCCGGGACGCGGGGTGCCAGTGCAGCACCTGCGGAGCGCTGGTCCTCCCTGGCCTTCTCAAAGCACAGTCACCTTCCCTGCTGAAAGAGGATGCTTCTCCCCCACCCCAGAACATTTAGTGATGAGTGTGTGGGTTTTTTTCCAACATTTTGTATTCAAAATCATTGCAAAAGTCAAGGCAAGGTCACTCAAAGACCTCTCTTGGTGGAGATCTTTGTAGGCATTAAAAAAAAAAAAGTGGTTAGATTATCACTGGTAGAGTGAACACGGGTGGAAGAAATGCGGGGATGAAGGTCACTAAGCAGCTCGCTCCCCTCAATAGCAGATGCATGGTGGTGACACGACGGGACACGGCTAACTTCCCAGACCAGCTCTTCACTCTTAAACATTTAACAGAAACTGCTGTTACAAAGAAAAACTACCTACAGCCCACTGAGAAGTTGAAACAGGTCGAGTGACATTCCTCCAGCTCAGGTGCTTCGATGTTGATACTGAGGGCAAAGGCAAGCCTAGCCCGACCGCAGGATCCTGTCAGTCTACTGGGACATATAAAATTCCTTTAGAAGCTTCCTTCATCTCTACCTCCCAAGATCCATGTTGGCAATCATCCCCCAAGCGTATGACCCACCGACATGCATCTGAAGGGTCTCAGGACAAGGGTTTTACTGGATTGTATTAAACGACCTTCCCCTTAAAATGACCTTCTCCCTCTTCTATACAAACCTTCCATTTTGTACTACTCCTGGGAGCTCCCATCTACTTGCTACTTGGGGGGCCATCTGGTTCCTGAATCGCTTAACAAAGCTAATTAAGTCTTCAAATGTACAGAGTTGAATTTTGTTTTTTTACACTGCATTCATCTGTAAAGCTAGTTTTTTGTTTATTCATTTGAAAGAGAGTGTGAGCAGGGGGAAGGGCAGAGGCAGAGGGAGAAGCAGACTCCCTGCTGAGCTGGGAGCCTGAGGGGGGAGCTAGATCCCAGGACACCCCCCCCCCAATCATGACCTGAGCCAAAGGCAGACAACTGAGCCACCCAGGCACCCTGGAAAGCTTGTTTCTTCCCTAGCAACTGTGAATTGCATCATGCAGAAACACCTTTCTGTCCCTGACCATTGCGGGGTGATTTTTCTTCCCACCCTGGGCCTGGGTGCCCCAAGATCACTGGTGCCAGGCCCTCCTTTATAGCATGGTGATTCTGGGGGGCCTCCAGGGTCAGCAAGGAAGCAGACTGGGGTCACAGATCTGGGAGACTGTGTCTCCACAGGCCCAGCCCTCAGCTTACTGGGAAGGGACCAGCATGGCTCTTCTGAGCAGGGTGAGCTGGGAGAGAAAAGTGCTCCTGCATTGGCACAGACCGCCCCCACTCCGCCCAGCCCACTTTATGCTCCCCATAACCATAGGGCCAGACCTCTGCTTGCGGGCCCTTCCACATCCAGCACCAGAGGCCAGATGAAGAAGTGGAATTACGAGCTTTTACACGGGGCAAAGAGGAACCACCGAGAAAGACAGAGGGGCCCAGGTGATCGTCATCCGGGAGGCCCTACCCTGAGACAGAAGGCTGCCCACTCTCCAGAAGCCCAGGATGTTGTCCTACTTCTGAGGAAATGGCTCTGTGGGTCCAGGAGCTCTGGGGAAAGGCACGTGTGGGGAGGACCTGACCCGGGAAACCCCAGAACTGTGAGCTTGACTCTGGAGTCCAGGTCCCCCTGAGAAGGATGTTTGTGCTCAGCAAACATGACCGAAGGCTCCTCGTGTGTGGCCCCAGATCAGCACAGGCCCCAAACCATGTTGGTGCAAGTTCTGAGTCCCCCCAGCCCTCCCTCCCCACCCCCACTACTCCCGGCTGCGGGGGGTGCACACCCTGGCCTCTGGAGTGCCTGGGTGGCAGAGGCCCACAACAGGGAGGCGGGAGCGCACAGGCAAGGAGGCCCTGGCCCAGGCAGCACCTAGACAATGATGGGAAGCCCGCAGCAGGACGCAGGTGTGCAAGAGCCAGCCCCTTGGGGATGGGATGGGACGGATGGCGAATGCAGCAGAGAGCAGACACGAAGAACTGCCGCTTTGGAGAGCTGGGGAGGAGCTGTGAAGGGAATAGGACACAGAGCAGGAAAGGCCCTGCAGGCGGGCCTCGCTGGGGCCCTGTCCCAGAGGCCTGGGGCTCCTAGCCCTTGCAGCACAGTGGAGCTCCTCAGTGACTTTAAATGCTGGCTTCAGGGCCCCGCTGCCCTAGAGCTGCAGTTTCATGGGGCTGTGCTGGTCCAAAGCTTGCCAGCTGGCCACACAGCTAGACTCAGGGTCTTGGAGGGTTTTCAGCTCAAAGAGATCTGGTAGGATTTACCTTTTAGGCTAACTCAGCAGCTGGTATGAGATTTGGATGAGGAGGATGAGGCTGGAGGCAGGGAGGCCAGCAAGGAAGCTGCAGAGTAAGGAGCCCTCCAGGGATGCCGGTTGGGGAGTCCCACAGCCCCTGCCCAAAGCACATCGGGGAACTGGGAGAGGCCTCAACAGGGTGAAGAGAGAAGGAAGTGGAGGGGCCTCACCCTCTGATCCATCCTTTGCAGATGGGGAAAGCGTGGCTCATGGCGATGATGTGGGTGAGCCAGCCTAGGCTCCTCTCCAGTTTCACTGCACAAACAGCCCTGGTATCAAACCGTTTTTATCCACGGTAATGTATCAGACAAATATTTGCTGAGGGAGGAGGTGGGGGGAGCTGAGAAAATGAGTTTCTCGAGGACAAGCTGAGTGTCAGGGATCTCAAACCACGGAGCCGCGGGGGCAAGGGCCTGGTCTCAAGCCTAGGCACATGGCTCCCGGGGAAGAGGGCAATGAGCCCTGGGCCCCGGTGCAGCCTCCTGCAAATCCTTCTTCAGTCTAGAAAGCAAAAGGACTCCACCTGCCACCCCCCCCACCCCCCTTTGGTGCCTTCTGAGGTCTGGATGTGACACCCGGAGCAGTAGCAGCTGTGATGCCACCATGTGGATTCTTGGGGTTTGTGATTGAGAGCACTCCCAACAGGCTCCGTTCCCAGGGCTGATGCCCACAAACTAGGTGCTGAGAACAGCAGAAACTGCTTCTCTCACAGGCCTGTGAGTCCAAAATCACGGTGTCAGCAGGGTGGCTCCTTTGTGGGGCCTCAGAGGGAGACTCTTCCTGCTGCTCTCCTACCTTCTGGAGACAGCCTGAAATCCTTGGGGTTTCCCACCACACAGCCCCTTAACTCCAGCTCCTGCCTCAATTAAATGCTGCCAAAGGGCTTTGATGGAGAGAAAAAGCCCACCCTCTTTGCCATCTCAGGAGGGCTGGAGCCCCACAGCCTCCAGCCCAGAGCACACAGGGCTCACCTCTGGCCTCCTCCAGAGCCACACCTCAGGAAACTGCTGTTTTCTTCTGCGAGTCAAGACTTGCAAGTGATGGGTATCAGAAAACCCAGGACAGTTTGGGATGATA